TGTTGAGTTGATGTGCTCCACCTTCCTTATCATGCCAGAGATGTCATTGATCAGGTTTACATCATTTTTTGTCAGCGTTACAAAAAGCCACTTTAAAATTGCTAAATGGCCACATGTGGCCCCTGAGCCACAGATTGTGGACCCCTTATGGACATGCATAAGAAAATGTCAACAGAGCACACATCAGGCATGTCAAGTTGTTCTAATGTTGTATTATTTGATTCAAAAATAAATTCTAAAAAAGTCATCCTAGATTAGCTGTTGCTGACTCAAATACCTTATACCTTATCTCCATGGAAACGGGACGCACACAGAAAAGCTGCATCACGCACAGAAATGAAAAATCCAACTTTACCAAACTTTATTTTGCCTACCTACCGACTTCCTGCAGTCTCTCCTCATGGAGCTGCGACTCAGCATGACCGACTGACCCCAGACCAGTTCAGATGTCTGTCTTACTTCCTAGGAGAAGTGCGTGAGGAAGAAACCAGAACGCGCTCCCGTCCCAGCATTAATGCAAGGGGCTGGGTTGCTCCGGTTGGCAGCTCCACCTTCTGTGTCCTCAAAGCCAATGGGAAGCTGCTGAGCATGTGCTCATAAAGGATGAACTGTTATTTAGAGATCTAGAGGTGAATTACAGAGCGGATGAGATCCAGTCGCATTATTAGACAAAAAATGCTTCATTCTGCTTCAAACATATAAAAGTCCTCATGCTGTAGGGTAAAATATTTTTAAATGGCAATTTTTTTAAATTTTGTTTCCATTGTATGTGTTTGTCAAATGAAATAGTATTTTTTTACATTCAATAAATAAAGGTTAATACCAATGTATTGCATTGCTGTACAGTTTTGGCCAATTTCTTTTATCTCAGATGACCAGAATTTTCTTTAAAAAAATTCTTAACTCGAAAATTATGAATGCAGAAGAAAAAAACTTTCACCTGGAAGAACTGTTGCTAATAGGGAGCGGCCCATTTATACTTCCAGACCACAAGTCTCCAAAAATAGAAAAAACAAATGCAAGTCAGTGGCAATACAAAAGTTATTTTCTCATCCTCTTTGATGTGCCATGGATTTCATGACGTTCACAGCATCTGTCTGCATTCCTTCGTGGGGGTTAGTTGTTAGCATCTCGAGGCTGCTCTGGCGTCAGATTCGGAAAACAAGACTATGTTTGGGTCAGGCTGAGATAATTTTCCTCTCTGCCTTCAGTCTTTACTGATCATTCCAGTCCTTCAGTGAAGCCAATTTTGGGTTTTTAAACTTGTCCATACCATCCGGTGACCCTCTACGAGATGACATCCATTTTGCGCACTAATACCAGTATCACAGCTAGAACATTGCCCAGCTTATGATTCACCTCGAGTAGCGTCCCAGTCTTTGAGGTCTCCACACGGACGGTGCTTTCCGTGGGTGCGGGTCGTCATCCAATCGCTCCCGTCTTCCCAAATTTCCAGAAAACCAGATATCCTCCCACTCCAATCAGAAGAAATCCAGTGATCATCAGACCAAATATCCACACGTCTTCGATATCCTCAATGGACAACTGGGAGAGGCATATGATCTTCCACTCCTTCCAGGAATCCAGCACATACCCTGCCGAGTGTGTCCACTGTGGGCAAGTGGGAGCCCCCTGCTCTGTTCTCATTGTTGAATAAAATCTTATCAGTCGCGTTCAATGACCAATTTATCAAATCCATAGTTAAAAATAGGGGTTTTCAGAAGAAATGCAGAGAAGCGCTCTGTGAGCAGACAGGACAAAGAGCCTTGGGAAAAAAAGATAAGGGAGCAAAAAGAGAAGTGTCTGTACTCCGCAAGTGCCAGGAAGAAGAGAGTTTGTAACATCTGATTTGTAGTCGTTTCATTTGCGGATTTCTAGAAACTATAATATCTCAAATGACGTGACATCATAGTCGAAACACGCATCATTACTGTTATCATTTAAATTGAAGTACAACATATGTGTGATTCAGGGCGTAAGGCAAAGCCGGTTAGAAAATACATTTTATAGCTCCGTTCACTTGCATTCATTTTTTCTTTGTTCCGGGGTCCCATGAGCCGACCAGAAGAGGAGACTCAGGCTCCATATAGATTAGAGTTTAGCAAAAATAAGAGTCCAAGGACAGAAACAAAAATCAGATTTCTTTTTTCTGTTTGTTTGTTTCAAATCAGCTGATCACACCTGAAAAGAAGAAGCCCAACCCGGAAAGTATTTTTAGGCCCATGCTATCCCAATTCTTGCACTTCCTCACCTCTGCCACTTATTGGCGCATTCCCTTCACGTTTTTGAGTGCGTATGCTGGGCTGCACCCCTTCAGTACCCTTGATTCTCACTTCACCGGAGTCCGCACCGATGCAGACTTTGGCGAAGGGAACTACTTATAATCCACTGGCGTAGGAATGTTGAGAAGAAGGCGGAGAAATGGCTCAAGTGCCCTTTTTGAAAATACGTATTTTCATGTGTAAGTATCAGAATACTGAATATTTTATTATTGTGTACATATCCAATTACAATAACTCATTTCTCAGTTTGAAAGATGCATTACATGTCTTTTGATAAATATTGTTAACTGATAACAGTGCTGGTGTGTATTTTTGGACCCCACATCCCAGCAATTTAATAACTTATTTTAGTATCATTTGAAGCACCAAAGTAGCACAAACAGCGACTGTTAGGTGATGATGACGCAGTTATTTGCAAATTTGTTTACTACGCACTCAAAACCTTACCTGCACCTCCACCAAGTGCACGTCATAGAGTCCCGTAGGCTGCAGTGTGGGTGTTAGGACTGGGCCGTATCTATTATTGAATGCAGTCTAAAATCAGCTGATCTGAAACAGGATGAAGACCTGAACCTAACCCTAAAACAATCAGCCTTTCAAGCACATCATTTCCTGTTGACAGCAGCTGATGAAAGCTAAAACCATCTTTTCACGCATCTGAAGTCGAGAATAAAATAACTAAAGATTTAGAGGAAATAAGTTGATAACACATGCATGTGCTCACACACAAATGCTTGCATCCTCACACAAACACGTGCACTTCTGTATCTTGGCATTCAATTGATTTGTGTGTGGAGAGCCAGAGGCTTTCCACCAAGCTTCAGTTCAAAGTCAGCCCAGATTATTGTTGATGATGATAAAGATGGTAAGAGCTGATCCTGAGGACTCCCCTCTTTACTGTAAATCTAAAGGAAATAATTTAAAACCTGCCGAAAGAATCTAAAATGGCTCCTCTTTAGAAGATTAAAGCGTAAACTACAGAGAGAAGGAGGTAAAGACTCCTCTTTTGGGTGTTGAAAGGGTAGAGAGGGTGGACCACAACGTCTAATTCCTCACATTCTGTTTCACATTATCCTAAATATCTTGCCTGTGAACTTTAGACCCGCAGAAATCTGTCAGGGCTGATTTAGGTTTTATTGGCAGTAGTTTGTAGAGCAGTGGGCATTAAATTCAGGGACATTTTGAACATGTAATACTGCCCATAGTAGGTCAGGTCACAGCTTTAATCCCGGTGGGAATGCTTGTGAGGTCAAAAATGTTAGCAAAAAATCAGATTCCAAATAATTGCATATATTTTCTGAAATGCCTTGCCTCACATCCACCCAAAATAAAAGGGTTGCATACTCCTCTTGTCATCAAATCTAGTTTTTGAGTTGCTGGGAGTTTGCACAACCAATCCACTTTGGATTTGGAGAAGGCTCATGACCATGTCCCTAGGGGCACCCTTTGTAGGCCGCTCCAGGAATATGGGGTGAGTGGCCATTTGCTAAGGGCCATTCAACTCCTGTACCAGAGGAGCATGAGCTTGGACCGCATAGCCGGCAGTAAGTCGGACCTGTTTTCAGTGAGGGTTGGACTTCGCCAGGGCTGCCCTTTGTCACCGGCTCGGTTCCTTATCCTTATGGACAGAATTTCTAGGCCACAATTTTAGATTGACAAGATAAAACACAAATGTTGTTGCAAGGGGGAGCCAGGACACATCAGAGGGGAGTTCACATCCACTCCTCATCTAGAGATTGGGTACGAAGCCCCAGTGAGTGAAACAACGCTGAACGAGACAACAACCCGAGCGACAGGATCACAGCTTAAATGAACACCGGGCAACCTCGATGCCAACTACGAGTGAGTGAAGTACCATTAGAAATCCTTGAAGATGTGAATTCCTGACAGATCTACATCACACCGTCACTTAACGTTCATGGACTCACCCATTGGCTCATGACAGAGAAGGTTGTTGCTGGTTTGGCGTCCAGGAAACAGCAGAGAATGTATTAAGTACTAGAAGCTTGTGTTATTTGTGGAGATGAAACACCATTGTTGCAAAGCAAACAGCGATGCTGTTAACCAATCAGAGACGAGATGTCCAAATATTAGGAAACCAGACTCCAACAGGCCCACTGGAGTTGTTTTCAACAGAGTACGACTTACAAGGCATTTACTCCTACTGGAGACCACTGCACACATATTTAAAATATGAGTGAAGGACTTCTTTAACAGACAGAAGTAGATCAGTTCTATAAATCGGGTTGTATGTGGCAGTGTGAGCGTCCTGTCAGTGTCCTGATTGATCATGCACCCTGGCTACTTGGCCAATGGGATGTCCCTTTGGCCGACTGGTTAGCACGCATGACTCTCACCCGGGAGTCTGGGGATCGAATCCCGCCCAGGCCCTTGTTACTTCACCTTGCCACATGTACACCAGGCTGTGGCGATGGCTCAGGATTCTGATTACATGGATGTTTAATAGAGAGAGTATTTATGGCCCAAACATTTATCAGATCATTTATCATTCCTGGGTTTTACTGGCAGCGTCACAGCGAAGGGCAGACTGCTGCTAAGAAAATGATTTATCAGTGTGAGGAGGAGACAAGAGCAGGGCAGATCGGGCATTTTATTGCACTCCAATCACTGGCCTACCTGCTCTCATACATTAATCATACATGTTAAAGTATGCAGAAATGACTCATGTACAAATAAATGAATCAATAAAACAGGAAATATACTGCCAGATGGTTTATTATGAGGCAATACTCATCATTCAAGGCAAAGGCTTATGTACATTCACAATAAAAGGTCAATTAAATAGTTGCATGTAAAATAAAGAAATACATTTCTGTATAAAGAAAAAAAGACACTTTACATCAGTAAATGCAATAATACATCTTCAGTTACCTGATACACATGTGGCAAGTGAGAACAAAAAGATAAATACTTTAAAATAAAAAATATCCCCTTCATTAGAACACCTGAGAGCCTTGCAGGACTAAAATCTGACATTCACAATCAGAAGTGCATTTGGCAGTTGTGATCTTCAGTCAGACACAGAATGGTTTCTTACCTATGTCCCTAATGTTTGTTGAAATGCATTAAAAACAGTTGTGAATTCTCTTTGGCTGAAATGTGCACATTGTTACTCACGGCAGTGAAATAGCACCAAACAGAACTGCTTGAAAAACACCTCAACTGCAAAAATGTCTAGTTCTGAAACAGTCGGACAAGAGACGCAAACACCAATAGCAAACATTAAGTACCCTGATATCTTCACAAAGGACAACAAATCAGAAGGATTTACACAGTAGCATGCAGAAATAAAGCATTTTGGACAGGTGTTTTACAAAAAATAATTCAACGAGTGAAGAGATGGAAGGACTGCTGTAAAAGCAGTATGAGGACGGACCTTCGGACCTGTGGACCCAGTGGACAGAGCTGTCTCCGGGGTCACACTGCTGGCACTTTTTGGGCTTAAAGCTGGGTGGCTGTTGGGTGATACCAACCACAAATCAACTTGTCAGCCAACCCATGAAAATAACATTTTTATTATGCTTATGGAGGTGAGAAGCTTATTCATTAATTACAACAGGATGTTTTCTGGACACAAATCACATTTTAAAAACAGCTCTAATCTAATCAGGTGTTAAACGCCTAAAATCATGTATAAATTTACCTGAAAACATAAGCAGAGATAATTAATACAAGGGTCCAAACAGGGGGTAGAATTTAGCTGAGGAATGGATTTATCAGTACCCCTTTGCACACAAGATCTCATCTAAACCAACCTGGCTCTGTGCGGAAAAAGTAATTTCCTCCCTTGGTAAATGATAAATTCACCATTATTAACCCACTGTGAGGAAAGCTGAATTAAATTCCACCAGCCTGGTGCTGGCGCCAGTCTCCAAACTTGCAGAATTACAAAATCCCTTCACGAACCTATCTGACTGTATGAAGCAGGCTACAAGATCTCAAAAAGCAATACATCAACAACCACAGAACAACTTCTAAAGAACGCAATTCTCACTTGGTTGAGGTTAAAGGTTGTTCATGAATCAACAATAAGAAGATGAGTGGAGAAACGGCATCCGTGTGAAAGTTTAGAGACAAAAATATGTGCCGGCCATAAAAACACAAAGGCCTGTCTCACATTTACTAAAAATACATGCTGATGATCCCTGAGACTTTTGGGAGAATATTCTGTGGACTGATGAGACAAAAGCTGAGCTTTCTGGGTGGTTTGCGTCCAAAACTAATGCTGCATTTAAAAAAAACGAACACCATAACAGTCAAACACAGTGGTGTCAGTGTGATGGGCCGGGCCACTTGCTGTAACTGATGGAAGCACGAACTCTGCATGATTTAAAAATACGAAAAAGTTGCTAAGTATCACTTTCATTCCTCTACGGAGATGGGACGGCCTCATCAGTATGCTTGATATTAAAACTTAAAGATAAATGACTTCATCACATAGGAACAGGTTAGTTTTGTACAGTTCAGCTAAAACGCTTCAGTTCATGTGACCTCTAACATTTGTTCCTTTGGATCTTGTTTGCAATGCCTAAAGTCTAATTTGATCCGGCTAAACATCCCCAACAGATACGGACTGTACATCCTACACTGTTGCATCCCATCATCTCTTTTATCGAATATGTTTACTTCGTCCCCCTGATGCTGACGTTTAGTAAAAGTCAAAACAGCAAAGGCACACGTGGCCTTTCCATGTGGCATGTTTGTTGCACCTGACCCTGTTAATCTCCTCCTAATGAGTCTGCTCTCTGCCTCGCTAGATGGCAGCCTCCAGCTGGAGGAAACAGCTGGAAGTCTAATCATCTTCAGACACCTGGTTGTGGACACGACTGGCTTGTGAACACAACGTGCCAGAAGAAAACTGAGAGAAATTGTACTTTTAAGGCAGGCAGTGAAATGTGAAGCTAACACAAAGTGCAACAGCGCTGTACGTGAAAGCTGAAGTACTGCAAAAGCTGCTTGAGGACCAAAAACACCTCACTGCATAAGAACCGACGGACCGTTGACCATCACAACCACATTATAAGTCACAGATGAAAAGAAAACAGAAAAAATAAAGACAAATATGGCTTTGACACACGGATTAAAGACTAATCTTAAAGTTAAATAACAGGCTGGTATTTGAAGGCAGTTTGTGAGAAAAACAGATGAATGGCTTAGTCCTTGCTTTTGTCAGCAAAACCTTTAAATTATTTTACAATACAAAAATAAATGGTGAGTAAGATAAATAAGGACATTTTTATTTACAGTACTTACACCAGAATAATTTACACTGTACACATGTGAAGTCAAAGGAAGACGAGTCTGCACTCGGAGGTTGCTGTAGCACCACGAAGAAGGAATGTGGTCACAAGACAGGCACCGAAGGACCACTGTAAAGTAAAACCAAAATGGATTCAGCCATTGGAGAGAGGAAATGATAAAAGGAACATTTAGAGATCCGAAATTTAGATTTAGTCTCTATAATAACAAATATTATCTACCTGCCTGATGGTTGGAGATCTACTCCACAGTTACAGGCAGACTGCTGTCGGGGGAAGGAGAACATTTCCCACAGTAGCCTCCACAGACTCCTGAAACACTGCTGCCATCCTGTGGAAACAGAAAGAATTACATCTGCATGGTTTTGTGGTGACATAAACACAGCTGGGTAGCTCAGCAGGATAACGCAAAAGGCTTCTTTGAAGTAGGGTCACCATGACGCATCTCTGTGACTCCTACTCTCGAGTGGAATGACTGTCATTGGCCACTAGAAGGCAGGGACAATCATATGTTTTTACTTATTGGCCTATGTCTGGATTACTCTTTACTTTCTCTTTACTTTTGCACTTTAATCCCACAGAGAAAAGTTGACTGCTAGTCCTTAAGATCAGCTGCTGCTCTCTGTCCTTTTTGCCCCTCTCAGAGTTTGGATAGAGAATCTTTGCTTATGCAGCTCCTTTGCTTGAAACTTCCAGAAAGATAAGAAATGTACTCAGTTATTATCCTTAAATTCCTTCAAAACCAAACTGAAAGCATCCAAACCTGCATCAGTGATTGGTAATTGTTTATTTACAATTCATGTTATTAATGCAATTCTTTTGTAATTTTGCTGCCTCTTGGCCAGGACTCCTTTGGATTTTTTTGTAAAATCTTAACAGGATTTTTTTTTCCTGGTTTAATAAATATTTAATGAAAAATGATTAAGTTTTAAAATTGGTCATGAAAATGTTCAATGCAGTGGTAGGTTTCTGATCATCCAGTTTTAGATTTTATTGTTTTTTCTTTAGATAGAATAAAGAATTAAAATATATCTCAATTCAGATTTTGAATGACCCCATTTTCTGATATAAGGGTTGTAGTACCCCAAGAGGGTGCTATACAAATACAGCCCATTTACCACTACTGATTCATTTTGAGGACTTTTTTTACTCACAATTCTAGATGGATCCATTTACTTACTGTGTTTTATGCTAAGCTAAAGCAAAAGGAGCACAGCCGGGTCAGGAGAATGACTGGGCTTCCTAAAAGATGATACTTTCCCACTTATCTACCTCTGGAAAGTATGTCAACAGACACAATTTCAATTTTGGGAGGAATATCCCTTTAAGTGACAATGTGACGTAGATCTGTCAGGCTTTAAAAATCCTAGAGTTTCTATCAGAAGCTAATGCAGGAGATAGGGGAAGAAGACTATTTCCATGTTCAGCCTGCATGAAATATTTGGAGTGAGCGACCAATTTTTAAAATAACAACTAAAAAAAGGATTTCTCGTTAAATCTGCTCTTTAAAAAACGCCTAAAAAGTTTTCTAAAGTGAAGTCAGTAAGTTTTTTTTCTGATCTTTGCAGGACTCTTCCTCCAACTCTCACAAGCAGGCGTTTTATTGACTGAAGTGGGTCAGTGGACATCAGAACTGTCACCGCCTTCTGTTTTTACTTCAATGGAAGGAACTCCCAAACCTGATCTGCATTTCAAAGTGAAGGATCAAGGTGGGGTGAGAGAGCTTCAGGGAGCAGCTGCCCCATTAAAGAGTTCTTTCCTTAAAGTTAACAGAGAAGCGCTCGATTGCACTCAGTTCTGAAAATCTATGGAATCACAGGAGGACCATGATGGTTTGTGTGTCACTTTGCATCACAAGTGTGTGATGACTGACCTCTGATTTTTGTATTTTAGCCACGGCGTAGTTGCCCTGAGAGATCCATGCGGCGTTTTCTGCCACCTTCAAACCTGTTCCTGACAAGTTGATCCTGAATTGTCCCTAAAAGAGGAGCGAGAAAGACAGAAACTATCATCAGGTTAAAAAAATACTGTGAAAAAATGTTTTTTTGAACAGAAAAAGTTTCTGTGAAAATTTGTCAGGTAGGGAAATAGCATGTTATTGTCCATAGACTGCAAAAAAATTACTTCAGACTCATATCTCTCCTTTACAAATAAGGACAAGCTAAATTAAATGGATATCACAATATTACCCATTCATTATATTATATTATGCTATTTTTTCATTTCATCAAGAAGATTTTAATTCAACAAGAAAATACAAAATATTATAAAGCATCAAAAGTAAAACTCAAAGGTGAGATGAAAACAGAAAAGATGGGCTGAAATGTAACTTCATGAAGATAAAGATTTTCTTAAAAACATCTAATTCCATTCAGTCAAGAGGAGCCAGTTGAGGTGGCTCGGGCATCTAGTTAGGATGCCTCCCGGACGCCTCCCTGGTGAAGTTTTCTGGGCACGTCCAGCCGGGAGAAGGCCTGAAGGGAGACTCAGGACACGTTGGAGGGACTACGTCTCTCACCTGGCCAGGGAACGCCTTGGGATTCCCCCAGAAAAGCTGGCCCAAGTGGTTGGGGAGAGGGAAGTCTGGACCTCTCGACTGCTGCCTGCCCCGCGACCCAACTCCGAATAAGCGGAAGAAAATGGATGGATGGACTTCTAATTCTAAAATTCACTGGCCTAAAGACTATCCTCAACCTTTTTTACATTTTTTTTTAGATTTTCAACTAACCACAATTAAATAAATGAAAAAAACACATTGAAACATATCTGTAGCTTCTGAAGCTTTTCTGCCAGTATCTTTAAACACATCAGTACACTGGTGTACAGAGTGATAATGGCAGCAGGAGAGTTGGTCGCATGCAGAATAAAACCCCAAAAGAAGAGTAGAAGAAGAGAAAATGGAGCAAAATAAAGAGAAATAATGAGAACGTCTAAACCATTTGTTCTCTCGACCATCTTGTGAGATTGCTGTAAGGGCTTGGAGTTCTGAGCTCTGACACACAGAGATCACTGGGATAGCAGGATTAAGTGAGTCACAGCAGGGATGTACCGGTATTCTGGTTTCCAGAACCTATCTACTTTTTTATTTCACCAATCTGAGCAGACACAGACATGCATTACTTCAATGCCTTTAATTTGTTTTATGTATTTTCAATAATAACATACTTAATAACATGTGTTCAAAAGGTTATATATTATCTGTCATGTTTGTGATACATCTGTTATCAGATCAATAAATTAGTAGCAGTTGCTTTTATTCTCACCTGTGGACAGGTGGCCAGACTATAGCAGTCCCCAGCTGTTGCAAACGGGACACTTTTGCCTTCCCGTGTGGAAGCAAACGTCCAGTCTGAACCTGAAAATCGGGAAAAGGCAGCTTGGTCACACTTACATTTTACAGGTTCTCTCTTTTGATGCTCCAAGATGACAGTAAAGTTGGCTTGCATCTACAATAATGACCAAGTAGTTATCTCTCTAAAAATAATCCAGCTCTTCTTTGAGGATCATTAGATGAAGACATTTATTTTAATCTTCCAAAACCCTGAAATGTGCCTTAAATTAGAGACATCTTGAGCCCATTAACCCTCATAAAGAGAGGCGTAATTAAAAGGAAAACGCTGCTCTGGTTTGGGAGGATTTTAGCCTAAATGCCGACTTTGGATGCTGCTTTATGAGTGTGTGCAAGCGTGACCGACTCACTGATGATGTGCATCCTTCTGAGGTCTATGCGAACTTTAGAGAAGGTGGTGATGCCTGCAGCAGTGTAGTCTCGACGGCAGTCACAGTCCTCTCTTCTGGAGCCATTGGCTGGACATTGAGTAGGGTCATTGAGTCTGGGACCGGGAACATGCGCACGCGCACATACACACACACACACGCACGCACACACACACACACACACACACACGCACACACACACACACACACACACACACACACATAAAATAAGCCTCGGCTTAACTTTGCAGGTTGATGGAATGTCCTCATTTTAGCAGAAAACTGCCAAAACTCCGCTGGATTTTTGCTATAAAGCCAACTCCTGTGAGTGGTTTACCTGAAGCCAAAGATCTCAGAAAAATTCTCCTTCTCTCCGGTTGCCAAGGTGATGTACTCCTGTGGTGTGTCCGTCTGCATTCCTGCACAATAAATCTACATCAAGAAAAGACAAAGGAAGGAAAAGAACAGATTCAGTATCAGCAAATAGATGTTTGGAAAGTAATGGACAAGTGAAAAAAATCCAATCATGTCATATTTGTACAAAAGACATTTTTATTATTTTATTTTACACAAAATCTGTAAACAGAAATGGGATTTAACTTCAAGAACAACAGACATTTAAAAAGAAAAGCACAAGAACAAAGGAGGAAACGATTTGCTTTTAGAAACACATTTTGTGCTTTTGCGCAGTAATGGGATGTTTTACCTTGAGAGCTTTTCCTTGAACACTAAGAAAGTGTTCACTGTCCTGAATGGGACCATTCGTGCTCTGGATGTCAAGACAGCTGGAAGGAAGGTGGCCTAAGAGACGCAGAATAAGTACTTAGACCTATCTAAACTAACTTTGTGGTGCTTTTATTAAGCTTTTCATAACCTATATAAAATAAAACACAATGTTCTTCAAGCACTTACAACTTGGATTGCTGCAGACTTTGGTGGTGCTGGGCATTGCATCTCCAGAGCATCTGTTACTTTCTCCCCCCACACATTGTACAGTCCTCTCCATCACTCCATCTCCACAGCTCGCTGAGCACTGTTTGACAGAAAGAACATGCTGCAAGAGATCTCTGGTTGGGAAACAAGATGGCTGACGGGAGAGTCTCATGAATTTTCCTCCTACCAATCCAACAAATATCATTGAAAGAACTTAACATCCAAGAGATTGATCAAGTCTCTTACATTCTTAAAGAAGTCTTGCTTCTTTTTTGGGAGTACTACCTAAAATTTTGAAGCTTTGAGTCCTTTTTTTTCTTCATCACATGTGCTCTACAAGTAACACTGGGCCTACTGAATTACCTCGAACCTGGAATTCTTTTTGTCTTCTAAGAATTTAAACAGATGATCAAGAAACATGGCGACTAAGAGGCTATCAGAAGGTATTGAAGAAATTAAGAAGTCCCTAAACTTCATGTCGGAAGAACTGAGTAAGGTGGCAAAGCACCAAGACTAATGGACTTAACTGAAGAAGTAAGGCAACTTAAGACTGTGATTAAGGAAAAAGATAAGAGGATTGAAGAGCTGGAAAAAAGAGTTGAAGATCTGGAGCAGTATACAAGAATGGAAGATGTGGTGATTTCTGGTCTGAAGACAAATCACTACACCTATGCACGGAGTACAGCAGGTGACAAGAAGGGAGAAGACGCACCCAGAGCTGAAAAGGATTTGCTTGAGCAGCAAGTTATTCAGTTTTTTTAAAAACAAAGACATTCCCTTAGATAGCAAAAATATAGCAGCATGTCATACTATTTCACAAAAGCATAACAAGATGCCAACTATTATATTTCGATTTGTGAGCAGGAAATATAAATTTGAACTGTTGAAGATGGGAAGGAAATTAAAGGGAACTGGAGTGTACGTGAATGAGCATCTTACAAAGAGAAATGCTGATATCGCACGACAGGCAAGACTTTTAAAGAAGGAAAGGCACATCCACCTGGACAAGGAACTGTAAGGTATTCATTAGACTCACTGGGTCACCAGAACAAGCAAAAGGTGTTGTTGTTAGAGATGTTGCAGATCTTGAGAGATTTAAACAAATTAAATAGAATTCAGTGGAGAAATAGAAGTACTTTTGTTGCTGACTGTGATATGGACAATATCTGATAAGTGTGAGAAAAATAGCTATGTATGTAAATGTGTGGAACATTTCATGAGTTAGATGATATTGATCCAGATATCCACCTTTATCACAATGTTGATATGACATGTGATTATTATTGTGGGGAAGAGTTAGATCCCAAGATAAAAGGTTTCTCGTTAATTCACTTTAACAGTCGGAGTCTTTACAGTAATTTTTTTTAAATCAAAGAGTATCTTGATCAATTTCAAAATAAGTTTGTTGTGGTGGCAATTTCAGAAACATGGTTGAATGATGGCAGAGAACTGTAGGATGGACTAGAGGGTTATGAAATGTTTTGGCAAAATAGGAGGAATAGAAGAGGAGGAGGAGTCGCTATATTTGTTATATCATGTCTTAAATGTAAAATTGTTAACAATATGACCGCTGTAATGGATAACTTGATGGAATGTTTAACTATCGAAATTCAAGTTGAAAGATCTAAAAACATATTAGTTAGCTGTATTTATCGTACGCCTGCATCATGCATAGATCAGTTTATGAGAGAATTTTCTGTAATACGGGAAAAACACAAAGAAAAGATGACTTTATTTTGTGGTGATTTTAATATTAATCTATTGAAGGCAAATGATCAAAATAAGACTTCTGAATTTACTGATACAATGTTTAGTTTCGGGTTCTATCCGTTGATTCCAAGGGCGTCAGTTTGTTTTCAGAATTGCTGGGGACAATAACCATACACTTGAGTGGGGTTTAAAAATTGCTGGGGACAATAAAGTAGGTGTCGGCGGCTCTGTAGCCGCATGCGGCTCTTCCATCCATCTGATGCGGCTCTCTGTGCTTGTAAAATAATGAATGGATATTTAAATAAAAAGCTTTATATTTTACTGCATTAATTTTACATCTGTATGCCAATTCTAAATGTAAAGATTGTCTGCGTAAACCTGAACAGTTCCAACCCGGTCTGACTGTGAGACCGGGTTGACGCATCACGCTTGTGCGTAATCATAGGCGCTTCTGAGCTGAAGGATGTCAGATTCTGGGCTTCTCCTCAGACAGGTTCCTGGATGCGTCGCCACATTGGAGACAGGAACAAGCACTATTCAGCCAAAGTTTCATAATCAGGTGTGGCAGTGTGAGGGTCCTGTCACAGTGTCCCGATAGATCATGCGCCCTGGCTACTTGGCCAAGGGGTTGTCCCTTTGGCTGACTGGTTAGAGCGTTTGACTCTCACCCGGGAGTCTAGGGACCGAATCCTGCCCGGGCCCTCATTTCTCCACCTTGCCACATATTGACGGATAAACTCAAGGATGTTGGTTGTTTTGAAAGATTTACCCCAACGCACACTGATGCGAAACCCGGTCTCTCTGAGGGATGGGTCACCTGGAAAAATGTTCTTTTTATGAAATTATGAAACTTTGGCTGAACAGCGCTTGTTCCCGTCTCTAATATGGAGATGCATGACGCATCCAGTCTGAGGCAGAATCGCCTCTTCAGCTCAGAAAGCTCCTCTAGAGACATTTGATTACGCACAAAGTTTATGTGGAGCAGAAGCGGCCGGGCCATGGCAGGTGAAATGTTCCTAGCCTACATGAAGTTAAACTGTTTAATTGTAACATTAATGTGTTACTAGACACACTGGTCTGGTTGGTTAGACCAGTGTTTGAAGTGGAAAACACACACACACACACACACACACACACACACACACACACACACACACCAATTAAAATAATGCTGATAGCATGGACTAGAAGACAGGTGATGGTTTACGTATTTAAATGATGATCAGGCTGCTGTAAAATGTAATCTCCATCCACATCCAGACACAATTATCCTCTATTCTTTCTCTATTTGCTCTGCTCTTGTCTGGGCTGACGTAGCTGACGGTGCGCGCGGCGCGCCTAACTAGCGGCTGATGCACATTTTACGCATTTGGAGAGGTGGGCTGGAAGCTTTGCTTTTACTGGAAGATGGTCCACTTAATGCACGGTTGTAGACTAAATATTAATGACAAATGAATGAAAATTAAACTGGGAGTTTTTACTTCATATTTTAGAAATAAAAATGACGGGGAACACATTTATGACATCTTTTTAAACAAAATTTTTTAGCGCGACCTGCCTGCTTCACTAAGCCACTGCTTATTAAGGTCCGTCCAAAATTACCGTGGCCCACCCAAAAATGAAAACCTGGCACCGCGCCTGTTATAAACCTCTGCAAATTGTTGTTCTTCACTTTATCAAACTCAGACTTTGTACAGCTAATGTCAAGATGTAAAATTATGAATTCAGGCGAGCTCTTCCGTCCCTCCCTCTCCTGCTCTCCTGGAAACCCAACATCGTCTGTCAGAAGCGGGAGGTGAAGAAGGAGATGAGGCAAACAGAGTGAGTGCGACCTAAAGAAACCAGACTGGTGTGGAGGTGAGCAAAACAGCTGGAAAAGTGTGGGTGTTGAATCCCCCACGGGTGCGACGCCCATGCGAGCGACCGGTACCAGCTGCTGTCATGTTGTGAGCAGCTCTCTGCTGTCTGAGGGTAGGCCCCGCCCACAACGCTGCGGCCGCTGTGGCTCCCAGTGTTTTCTTTACTGCGGGAAATGGGTAATAATGGCTCTTTGATGGGAACAGGTTGCCGACCCCTGGTATAAGATCTGAGCTGGTAAAACAAAAATCCTCATCAGCAGGCGTTTTTGGAAGTGGGGGGGACACAGCTGCCAGTCACAAATTTTGCCGGGGACATGTCCCCGGCGTCCCCGGTTAAAATGACGCCTATGGTTGATTCTAAAGCCCAGCAGAATAAAGATGGGCAGCGCCACTTTGATTGACAACATTTTTTAAATAAGATAGATGGTAAAATACATAGTGGACTGTTAGTCACGGATGTAAGTGATCACTTGCCTGTCTTTTCAGTGCTTGAAATGAATAATCAATTTAATATTTGAGAGGAAAAGATTGATTGCCTTGGTAGAATAAAAACACCTGAACACATTGCAGCTTTTAAAAGAGAATTAGAAAATTATGATCAGAAAAAGGTTTATGTGGAAGACACTAATGATGCATATAATGCATTTCTAGACATATTTTTGTCAATCTATGACAGCCATTGTCCACTAAAAAAGTTTTCTGAAAATCTCAAAAAGAAAAAAAACATGGTTGACAAAAGGTCTGGAAAGAGCGTGTAAAAGGAAAAATAAGTTATATAAGATTTTTTTGACAAATAGAACTAAGGAAAATGAAGACAAATATAAGAAATACAGAAACAGATTAACAACTATCTTGCGATATGAAAAGAAAAGTTATTATAAAAAGCTGCTTCAAAAATCTAAAAATAATATAAAGGCTACCTGGAGTGTCCTTAATAAGATAATAAAAAATCTGAATAATATATGTTTTCCAACATGTATTGTAAAAGAAAGTAATGTAGTGATTAAGAATATTGAGAGTATAGTCAACAAATTTAATGATTGCTTTGTTAATGTAGGTCCCAATTTGACAAAAGAGATTTCTGTACCAGGAAGACATGATGACAATTTTTTTAATTTTACTTCTTATAAATGTAACTCAATGTTTCTTGGAGGAGTCTATGAGAGTGATATTATAAATGTGGTGAGTAAATTTAAGAGTAAAAATCCATGGATTGTGACGGCCTTGATATGTCATTAGTTAAAGAAGTTCTTCATAGTATCCTTCAACCATTAACTTATATTTGTAACAAATCATTTCAAACTGGATTTTTTCCAGATAAAATGAAAATTGCCAAAGTGATCCCATTATATAAAACTGGAGATAAACAGGTTGTGTCAAATTATAGACCAGTATCTTTGCTGCCTACATTTTGAAAGATTCTCGAAAAACTATTTGAAAACAGACTAAATTATTTTCTTGAAAAATATGATTTATTGAATGACCATCAGTATGGGTTCAGAAGAAATTGCTCAACATCTCTAGCAGTGATGGAATTTATTGCAACGATTGTGGATAAAAAACAGATTGGAATAGGTGTGTTCATTGATTTACGCAAAGCCTTCGATATGATAGATGATTCTTTACTGTTACAGAAATGTGAAAGATTTGGTTTAAGAGGTGTTGTATAACTTTGGTTAAATAGTTACTTGGAAAGAAGACTCCAATATGTGAGTATTAATAATATGAAATCTAAACTTAGAAAAGTAACTTGTGGAGTTCCGCAAGGATCGGTGTTGGGACCAAAGCTATTTTTACTTTATGTAAATGATATTTGTACAGCTAGAGATATTTTAAAATATGTGATGTTTGCTGATGATACAAACTTATTTTGTTCTGGAGATAACATAAAGGAATTACTGAAACCAGTGGAAACAGAATTGATTAAGTTAAATAGATGGTTTGTATTTAATAAACTATCACTGAATGAAAGTAAAACAAAATTTATTATTCATTTATGTATCTCATCCTTCTCGACTTGAGTTCGGCCTTCGATACCATCTCTCACACCATCCTCCTCCATAGATTGTCTTCCCTTGGCATTTCTCATATCCCGCTTGATTGGTTCCGTTCATATCTCTCTGGCCGTACTCAGTTTATTCAACTCAAATCCTTCACTTCCCATCCCTTCCCTGTCACTACTGGCGTCCCCCAAGGCTCTGTTCTTGGTCCACTCATTTTCATCACTTACCTTCTTCCCCTGGGAAATGTTTTCCGAAAATTTGACATCCATTTTCATTGTTACGCGGATGACACCCAGCTCTATGTATCCTCCAAACCCTCCTCTTCACTCCCTCCTTCCCCCCTCACCAATTGTTTATCTGAAATCAAAGACTGGTTCACATCAAACTTTCTGAAACTTAACAGTGATAAAGCAGAAATGTTACTTGTCGGCACTGAATCTTTACTATCCAAAATCCACAGCTTTACACTTCCCGTCGACAACTCCTTAATTTCCCCCTCCCCTCAGGTCAAGAGTCTGGGTGTCATCCTCGACTCCTCACTATACTTCCAGTCCCACATAAACAATATTACCCGGTCTGCCTACTTCCATCTATGTAACATTAACCGCCTATGCCCCTCCCTCACTACTCACTCGGTCGCCATCCTTGTCCACAGCCTCATCACTTTCCGTATTGACTACTGCAACTCTCTTCTCTTCGGTCATCCTCACAAATACCCTCCATAAACTCCAACTTCTCCAGAACTCGGCAGCCCGCATCATTTCCAGAACTCTCTCCTTCCACCACATCACCCCTGTTCTTCAGCAGCTCCACTGGCTCCCAGTCACTTCCAGAATCCAATTCAAAATTCTGCTATTTACATTCAAAGCCATCCATAGCCTAGCTCCCCCGTACCTCTCTGACCTCCTTCATCCTTCAACCTCCACTCGTCCCCTCAGGTCCTCCTCCTCCATCCACCTCTCTGTCCCACCTTTCCATCTGGGCACTATGAGGGGCAGGGCCTACAGTCGCTCTGCTCCCCAGCTCTGGAACTCACTCCCTCCTGACCTCCGTAACATTGATTCCCTCACTCTCTTTAAAACCAGACTCAAAACCCACCTGTTCCGTCTAGCATTCCAATAGTTACTGTCTTTGCTCCAATCTGTCTGTTTGATGCCATTCTATCTTTTATTGTTGTGTATTTTATCTCTGTCTGGAAAGTGTCCTTGAGTGTTTAGAAAGGCGCTGTTGAAATAAATGTATTATTATTATTATTATTATTATTATTATTATTATTATTATTATTATTAATGCTAAATATAGATGTGTGTCGGTTTTGGGAGTTAAGTTATGGAATGGACTTAATGATGAACTGAAGATGTGTTATTCTTTGTCACTTTTCAAGAAAACTTAAAAAAAAATGGCATCTTCCAAAGTTATAGAAACTTAGTTTGATGTCTAACCTTGTGTTGGTTTGATTTCTTGATTTATCAATGCTTTTTCTTTAAATGTTATGCATCTTATCTATCAGCCTTGGTTAAGGATTTGATTATCTCTGTGGGAGTTAAGGATAGGCTAATTATAAGCCACTAGGCTTCAACCTATTCCTTTTTTCGGTTGCTTGATTACTTTTATGTAAAATTGATAAATTGTTGTTGTTGACCGAATAAAAATATCTATCTATCTATCTATCTATCTATCTATCTATCTATCTATCTATCTATCTATCTATCTATCTATCTATCTATCTATCTATCTATCTATCTATCTATCTATCTATCTATCTATCTATCATCTATCTATCTATCTATCTATCTATCTATCTATCTATCTATCTATCTATCTATCTATCTATCTATCTATCTATCTATCATCTATCTATCTATCTATCTATCTATCTATCTATCTATCTATCTATCTATCTATCTATCTATCTATCTATCTATCTATTAACACGACAATACCACAGATGGTGAGATGTTTGTATTTTCCCCCTAAGGTTTGAATTATTACCCTCCAATTAAAAAAAAACGGGTCCCAGGTGAGGGATCAGACTAAGGGCAGCCCAACGACTCCTTATGAAGACAAACATAAAAGGAAACTGTGTTCCTTCGCCTGGACGCGGGTCACCGGGGCCCCCCTCTAGAGCCGGGCCTGGAGTTGGGGCAGGTTGGTGAGTGCCTGGTGGCTGGGCTTTTACCCATGGAGCCAGGCTAGTCACAGCCTGAAGAGCAAACAGTGGTGCCCCTCTTTATGAGCTCACCACTCGTGGGAGGCACCTAAGGGGTCAGGTGCAGTGTGTGACGTGTGGTGGCCGAAGGCAAGGACCTTGATGGTCTGATCCTCGGCTAGCTCTCGGTACGTGGAATGCCACCTCTCTTTTTGGGAAAGAGCCGGAGTTGGTGTGTGAGGTTGAGAGGTTCCAGCTAGATATAGTTGGACTCACCTCAACACATAGCTCTGGCTCCAGAACCAGTGTCCTCGAGAGGGGTCAGACTTACCACTCTGGAGTTGCTCCCACTGAGAGGTGCCTAGCTGGGGTGGGCATACTTGTTGCCCCCCATCTTGGTGCCTGTACGTTGGGGTTTATTCTGGTGAATGAAAGGGTAGCCTCCCTCTGCCTACGTGGGTGGGGGACAGGGTCTCAAACTGATTCAGAAAATCCTTTATGCTCTTAAAGCTTGCACTGAGGCTCCTGCTATTAAAGTGAATTATTGATAATGACTGAGCTGCTTAGTTTTTGTTCCCCTTAATAAAACACTCATTGTTTATATGACTAAAGTAATTATTGTCAGGGTGTATCTCATCTGAATTGTTTTGTTGTTGATGTTCGGTGGTTACAAATGTTCCAAGTTCTGTTTGACTTAAGGTATTCACAGTCCAGTCTTCATCTTTACAGATGTAGATGAAGATATTCATCAAGTATGCCAGTCTTGCAGTATTTTAACTGAATTTGTTTCATTTGATGATCATAGCAACAGGTGTTTCATTAAAATTCTTAGGTTCGTTTTCACAGGAATTATAAGGTTAATTAGCAGCTAGATGTTTCAGTCAAAGACATGAAGCTTTCACTCACCGGTCCCCAGGTTCCAGCCCTCCACTCCGGTGGTGGAGAGCACGGACCCAGATCACAGGGCATGTAGCTCTCTGGGGGCGTTCCAGGGCAGTTGGACAAAGACTGATGACCGTACTCATAGTTGTCATTCTCTACGTGGACCTCGCTGCAGGAGATGAGACGCTGGCGGTAGCCCTGCCCACAGCTGACCGAGCACTGGAGAAGAGAGCAAATTACCGTTCTCCTTGCGAACTTTTCCACAACACCGGAGATAACAGTTTAAATCTGACCCAACCCTAACTCATCTGTTTGTCTGCTCACCTTGGTCCATTCTCCAGTAATCCAGATTATTTCACAAGCATGTGTGTTGCAGTTCTCTATGTCTGGTGGTCTGATCTGGTTCACACAGTACATCTCATGCACCTCCTGCTGGTTGTAATCCACACAACGCAACGCACGCCTTCGGTGGCCCGAGCCGCATGATTTGCTGCACTGTTGAAAGAGCAAGAGAGAAGGTCGATGTTTCCTTATGAACTAGTTAGTGTCTCACCTCTCCCGTCTTCAAATGGTGCAAAATGCAGCAGCACGCCTGTTGACGGGTTCGAGAAAGAGGGAGCACATCACCCCAATTTTAGCTTCGCTGCACTGGTTGCCTGTCGATTTTAGGGGCCAGTACAAGGTTCTTTTATTGGCTTTTAAAGCTGTGCATGGCCTTGCTCCGCAGTATCTGTGTGAACTTTTAGTTACTCACTCCCCGTCTCGGTCACTGAGGTCAGCCGACCAGTTTCTCCTGGAGGTGCCGAGAAGGAAGAGAAAGCTCAGGGGTGATAGAGCTTTCTCAGTAGCAGCCCCAAGGTTGTGGGATGCACTCCCAGTCCAGATTAGGATGGTTTCGTCACTGTCGGGTTTTAAATCACTTTTAAAGACTCATCTGTTCTGTTGCTTTTAATTCAGTTTGAGAATGCATCTGTTTTTAGTAGCTTTTACGTCAGTTTCATATGTTTGTTTTTGTCTTTTAACTTTTTGATGAACTTTTATCTTATTTTTAGCATTATAGGAAACTTCTGTTCGTTTTGGCTTGCTAGGCACTTTGGTCAGCTTTTATGCTTTTGTAAAGTGCTTTATAAATAAAGTTGACTTGACTTGACTAGTTAAGTTCATGGGCACACTTTATTAAAAGACTCATGCATTAAAAATGAATGGCCCTTCAATGGGTTATTTATCAGTGTAAAAAAGCAGTAGAAGTAGAAACCAAAGTACTAAAATGGTAAAAAATAAAATAACAAGGTGTAGCTGAGACAAAAAAAAAACCTGAGCTGAGGACTTGCTGAAACCCTGAGGAGACAATACGTAAACTCCACCTCTTACAAATGTTTACACAACTTAACCAATCATCTGTCTTCTCAGTAGTTTTAAACCTTTAGAGACATCACTGATTAATACAATGTTTAACCCATCCCTACCATTCTCAGAACAAGTTAGATAAAACCAACAAAAGGCTTCAAACACAAATAATCTCTTTTGATTTGTTCTATAACTCAGATTCAGATGTTTGATAAAAGTGAAAATTCAAATCTACCTAAATCACAACAAAAATTCCTCTAATTTAACCAATTTTAGGACAACTTTCACCAAAACCCAGTAGAGTTCAGATGCTGACCATGAGTCACATCTACAGATATCAAGTCTTTGTTTTTGATAGTGAAGCTATTGTTAGGATAAAAGGTGGTAAATGCTGGAGGATGGAGAAACCAAAACAACACTGCTTAATGACAAAGCTGTAAAAACAGCAACTTCTGTGGACACAGCTGCAGCTTTATGAGCACTTTGGTTGTTTTTCATTCATTTATTAGATTTAATCTTTGTTTTGGAAGTTTGTGATGCGAGGCTGAACCTGAGCACCAGGAGAAAAACCTCCATTGCTAGCACACTGAAAGGAAATGAACAGGTGAATGATTTTTTTTATGTGTTGAACCTAGGTGTTAGATATTGTATACAGAGTAACTCATTTCTTTGTGAATACTGAACCAGAATGGGTGGATGGTAATCCTAATGACAAGTTGTTTGAAAGGAATCCTGACTATGTTCCGCACTCCTGTAGATGTTACAGAGATTCTAGATACAGTAAACAACTGTGAATACAAAACTTCAACAGATTGTAACGATGCTGATGTATTTATTAATAAAAAAAATATGAACAAGTCACCCTCTACCAGAGTCTTACTCCACTCCCACTTCCTGTTTGAAAAATGCAACAAATGCTGTTGCCAGGCAGACCAAGATGGCAGAGCCACTAACAAAAACACAAGTTTTAGGCAGAACATTTATATTTTAACTAAGATGCACTAAAGTGCCAAATTATTGACTTCATGTGTCCACGATTAGACACTTATTCATATAGATTATCAGCAAAAAAAAAAGTTGATTTGGGGTGAATCTTTCATTAAATTTAAAACTAATCAAATTTTCATTATTTTTGCATGTGTTTCCCCAAACCTCTATACAGTAGCTTAAAAATGGTAGTAGTAACATGTTATATAATATACACAGTGCCCTCTGACTGAGAATGTGTTTAGTTTTGCCCAGTATTGCAGTTCCACATTTGAATTTAAATCTGGCATTGCTATTGGCTAAGAGGTACCCTATGGTGTTAGACGGAACAATATGATGTCACAAAGCCCCTGGAACACGAGCTCCAGAACCGGATTACAGGCGTCTCTCCCCCTGTCACGGTCTGAGGTATTTCCCTGCTGTCACTCCCTGTCTTTTGAGTTTCCCTCTGCAGGTGGGCGTGTCTGGAGGTGACCAAGCTGCAGCAGATCTGCTCATCAGCTGGCCAGGGGTATTTAAGCAGCTGGGAGACTCCTACACTTCGCTGGATGATTACTCTACCTGGGTACCTTCTAACAGCCGCTAGTTTATCTTGTTCAAGCTCTTTAAGCCTTTTGAGAATTAGATTGTGTTTTTGGATTTTTAAGAATTTAATGAGTTTTGGATTTTTTCCCTTTGACCTCCTGCTCTTGTTCCCAGACAAACCTACACACTCTCATCTTGGACTGGCAGAACTCTGGAGTCCACACCACCTGGATCTCCAACCCCGCACGTCTCTCAGCCTCTCCCCTGGCCAGAACCACCTCCAGCTGCCCACCTAAACTTCCTGGACCTCCATAAACCCAGCTCCCTCCACGTCTCACTTCTGGATCTCAGTCCCTGCAAGCCACTCAACTTAGACCGGACCACTCCTCCCTCAAACCAGTTCCCCCCTCTCCAGACCGTAAGTCCTCCGCACAAGTCTGACTTCCCGTTCCTTCCGCAAACTGGTTCTAACTCCGATCTGTCCACAGTTTTCCCGCACCAGCCTCCCTGTGCAAGAACTCAGCTTCGTTTACGCTGCTCCCTTGGTTTCCCTTCAATAAATCCTTATTTAAACCTTTTAAACCGTCTCCGATCTGATTCTGTATGTCGTGGGTTAGATCACTTCACCACAACATGACACCCCCTCTCTCCAAGCACTAAACTATGATGCATGAACGGATATTAACCAGTATGAGACAGTTGACAAACGCTCATTAGTTTATTATTTTAAATCATTAATATTAACTGACACCAGTTTAAGCTAACATTGTTAACTCACAAGCTGCTTCCCCGTTGTTTTCCTCACATCGCTGTGCAATCTTTCTGCTTTGGCCGGTCGTTTCTCACTCTGGTTTGTCTCTGCTCACTGGGGCGTGCAGAAAACTCATAACTTTATGGTTTTGGTCCAGCAGAAGTAGAATTAGAAACATGTAGTTTCCTCTGTGTCAGCGACAGCATTACAGTTTTTCTCAGTCGCTTTGGTGCGTTTCTCAGAACACTATTAACATTTGCACAGCAGTTAGTGCATTTCTCAAAACAATTAGTGCAAACTGCAAAACCTAGTGGATAGCCTGCAAAAGCACGTCACATGCTCAAAATTGATAATCCATTCCTCAAAAGCAAGTATTCATGTCAATGAAACTGTCAGTGCCATCAAAATGAAAAGTCTTGACACCGTCTTTATGAACAAGATAGTCAAATGGCTTTGTCATGTTTTCACTATGACAGTTTATAATTTCAGTGTTTTCCATTGCAAGAATATTTGGTGACACCAGAAAATGCTCAAGACAGCACTATGCCCTACTTGTACAGCCATTTGAAATGTGCAGTAAAGTTACTGTAGATGTTATGGGAGTTTTGGGAGTAACTGAGACACTGAATACGTGCGTTTTACATTTTTACTGTATAGAAGTGTTTGTAATTCTACAGCATTGTGCAAAAGGAAAATATGCTACAGTCACTTGTTTACTGTAGAATACATGTAAACAAAAAAACACCCTTTTGGTAGAGCTGTGCACAAATGTGAACAATATACAGTACATGTAACAGTACATACAGTATTGCACAGTACGGTAACATACAGGTACAGTAAATCATTCTGGCACATCCAGACGTTCCTGTCTGTCTGGCCACATATTTTCATCTACATCACAACGGATGTCGTCCCCCGCAATGCAGCGAGGAAAGTATCTCCTGGAGTGGAGAAGTATACAGAAGTATAGAAATGGTACACACTAGCTCCTGCTCAGTTCATATATGCTTGCCAATTGAGGACTCACCTCCTCATGAGTGACAGATGAAATTCACCTGTGATCAAATGTTCAATTTAGGAGACATTTCCAGAATAAAATGATAAAGAAAGGTATAGAATTTGCTTGACAGATGACTGATATTTGACATTTGATAACTAGTTCAACAATTTTGTGTGTAATGACTCAAGCAATGAAAGTAAGACTATTAGTTTTATTGAGAGTGACTATTCAGCATCCATAAGTATAATTCATTTTGACTGACATGACATAAGCAAATGGAAATGTCAAAAAACAGCAGAGAAATGTATGAAAGCAACTGATACATGTCCAAAATCATTTGCAGTTTGTTCAGAGAAAGGAGAAATTGCTACTATGATGTGCACAAATGACTAAATGTTGTGGAGGTTGAACTAATTGTTATGAGAATTTTAATTCTGATCTGAGAAACGCACCAAAGCGACTGAGAAAAACTGTAGTATCCATATTTTTCTCTGGGTTAAGCTAACAGGACTCTCTCTGCTGACATTACTTGGTTTGGCAAAAACGTTTTAAAGGGTTGAAGTTTCTATTATGTTTCTCTAAACATCGGTACATGGGAGTCTCTAGCTTGAAATTTGCTCTTTAAATAAACTTCACGGTAAAAGGGTGAGGTACTGCCTGCAAGTGGAATATCCTATCAAAGTTTCTTCATTAACTTGTATCATTTTTCTCTGTTAAACTTAAAAACATTTATTTAATCCTATGTGGAAGCTACAGTCTCTGGAGTCTTTTAAAGACACTCCTGAACTTTCATATATGTTTTCCGTCTCCCTCTCAAGGCTAACGTGTAAAGCACTGTAGTAAAATCCAATCTCTTTCGTGCATAAGACACGTTTACTGGCTGTT